GGAGGGTGCCCGTCCTGGGTGAGAAGAGAGGGAGGGTGCCCGTCCTGGGTGAGAGGAGAGGGAGGGTGCCCGTCCTGGGTGAGAGGAGAGGGAGGGTGCCCATCCTGGGTGAGAGGAGAGGGAGGGTGCCCGTCCTGGGTGAGAGGAGAGGGAGGTGCCCGTCATGGGTGAGAGGAGAGGGAGGGTGCCCGTCCTGGGTGAGAGGAGAGGGAGGGTGCCCGTCCTGGGTGAGAGGAGAGGGAGGGTACCCCCAGCTTTTTGTCAACAGGAAAGTGAAGGGTCTGGGGCTGGTAGCCAGGGCTGCTCTTGGTCATCCTGCGCCTCCATCAGGTGCAGTAGAGAGGTGGGGAGCGCCTGTGATGGCTCCCATGCTGACAGGCATAGGGGTCTTGGAGCAGAGGACTGTGGCACTGACAGGCTGGCTGGCCCTGAGAGCAGAAGTTAGCACCATCGTGAGAACATCTGAGCTGCCTTCAGAGGACATGCCTTTTAACCTCAGGCCCCTCAGCCGATGAGATACAGGGAGTGGAGCAGGGTCAGCCCCTGCTCTGTCCTGCCCAAGGTGAGGGAGAGCTTTTCAAAACTGAGGTGGCTTAAGTACATGTCTTGATAAAAACGACTTGATTCTTCTTGTAGATTGATGACTTCTGTTTGTTTGAAAACAGTCAAACCATATGTTAGCATCACAGATAGTTTATTTGACCGTCCTTGGCATGGGTGTATGAACCTTTTCTCCAATTGCCAGGGTGTGCTGTTTTTCTTTTCTTTGCCTGTTTCCCTCCTCCCTATCTCTCTCTCTCTCTCTCCCACCTCTCTACTCTCTACCTTCTTTCTTTTCTTCCCTCCCTCTCTTCCTCCCTCCCTCTCTCCTCCCTTATTCTACCCCCCCCTCACGTGGTTCTAGAGAATTAAAATTTGTATATGATTGTAGGAAAAGTGCCTGGAGTTAGTGCTTGGATAACCTGGATACAAGTTTGGAAAATAAACTTAAGTTTTTTATTTTAAAGGAATTTTATCTTTCATTGCAAAATGTTTTAATTCTGACTAGTAATGTTCTATTAAGATTTAAGATTCAGCTTGTGCTATTGTGTACTGAAAAATAATTATTCTCCCTTTCCTTTTATGTAGTTATTAGAAATACTGATGCTTAGATGTGAACCTACTGTATGATTGTGTGTGCATTTGTACTTTGCTGTCCTTTCCAGTGGTGTGGACACGCAGTGATCTGATTGTAATGCAGGTGTTTTCTTGCAGTGCCCTTGCTGCCAGTTCCGAGCCAGCCGAGGCCTGCTGTGGGACCACAGAGATTCCCAGTGAGTAGCAGCTGCTCTGCCGTAATGAGGAGAGCACATTTTCAATAGGAGAGATTGGCAATACTATAGACAGGAGCCTAGCCAAACACAGTTGTAAGGATGGTAAATACTGACAGTAATCTCTGCAGTGAAAATGTTTGTTAAATAATTAAGGTCATTGGGTTTTTGAGGGTGGAATTAATTTTGTTTAACTGTAAAATTGTTGTTCAGGATCACCTGTGGAGTACCTTTCACCTTAAAGAATATGAATTCTGATTTTGTTATTGTCCAGTGTTAAGTGGAATAAGATGGCTCTTGCCTTAGAAGAGGGGCATGTGTGTGCAGACATGACAGATACGTGTGTTAGCTATAGGAATAAAAATGAGGTTCCCTGCTTGTAAGAGAACCTTTAGAGTCTTAATGAGCAAATGAAAGTGTCCACTTCAAATTAGATTACAAACAAAGCACATATTCATAATTTTCATCTGTAAATAGAAGAAAAATATCCTTTATGTGGTTATTTAAATACATACATGTGGATTCTTGTTAGATTTGTGGTCTGAATTTATGATTGTATTATAGCAGTGAGTACATGTTCTCTTTAAAACACAATGTGGAGAAAATGGACATTTATATATGTAAAGCAGAGAGTTAACTGAGACTCAACAGACTGATTTTCAGGAAATATATAAATGGCCCATTTGACTAATTAACTGTGATAATTTACCAAACTGGTTTAAATGGACCACCTACATATATAAGTATTCCAGTAATTATTCAGAAATGCACTCTTCTGGATTTAAGGTTCTGAACATTCTTTAGAAGCTTTCTTGATTGTAGCTATTATTTATAAATTATGATAGGGTTTCCAAACCTGGTTCTTGTTGGTCTCGTTCCAATGTTTTTTTTTTAAGATTATTTTTCTGGTTGCAATGGTTTGTTATTTTTAGTTGCTATTTAATGAGTATTAATTCCTATTTAGGGCACTTGTCTAACCGACAGGATAACACGATTTTCTTTTATTTTTTTGAAATTTTTTTTATTGTGATTGATTACATAAGTTCACCAATTTCACATGGGGCAAATTGTCTATGGTGGTCTATAAAGTTTATGAGTTTTATGGTCTTTGACAATACAGTTATTTCTTCCATATCAGGTGATCTGTACATTTCTTTCCATTTGCTTAGTGTCAGCTGTTCCCTCTTTCCTTCTCATTCCCTTCTTCCCATCGCTGCCATTGAGTTCCTTAATTCATTTTGATCAATGTCCAGTGCAGTTGATGGGTCCCACTGTTGTATGTTTTCCCCTAGTTCTGTGTCCTCCTCCTGGTTTCCCTCTGCAGTGCACATTTATACCATATATGTGACTAGCAGCATGGGGTTATTTAGTAATGATTTGACCAGATGAGTGGATGTCCTTTGTTTCTTGAGTCTTGTTTACTTTATTATATCACCTTATGTTTTGGGTTTAACATTCACTGGATAACATGATTTTATACTTTAGATGATTTTAGACTTTAGAAATATTTTTTTTGATGAAGTAGTTGATCTACTTGGTACCAACATTTTGCCAACATTTTAAGCACTTATCCTTTAGGGTTGTGAACATTTTTATTAAACTATTATTAAACTTGTTTTCAAGTTTTATTTACACCATAAGAACAACATTGTATGTGGAAAGCACTTGCAGTTTTTAGAATAAATGTAGAATAATGCAATTCAGTACTTTCTATTAAAAAAGTGTAGTATTTTTCAGTATAAATGAGGCCCGTGGAGTTTTCAGATAATCTTGTAAGCGTGAGTTTAACTCACTCAATTGGGGGGGTAGGGGAGTCTAGGAGTATACTTTCTGTGAAATTTTGCATAGGACAGTATTTATGCTGCAAACATGGAGAATCACTTAAAGGGGCGTAGACTGTGGAATCAGAAGATCACAACAAACCTTGCTTTGCTCAGTTCTCAGTTTGATGAAAATTGGCACAGAGACTTTCAGACTCAAAGTTTTACATCCGAAGGAAACAGATTCTGGTACAGTCTGCCAAGGGTAACTTCACAAATGTTTATTACAGGGAAGAGGGATGAGGCAGTGCTTCACAGTCAGATTCTGTGTTTGTGTCTATTTGAATTTTGTTTTCCAATGTTCTTTGTTTTGTGTACTTACAGTCTAATTGCTCTCTTTTCCACAAAGGCTGTCCTTGGTATTTTTATCATTAATAGGAAGTTATTAAGCCCATTGCTTACCCATAGTTCATGTGTTTGTCTTCCAAGCTATGTTTTTAAAAAGCTTACTTACTAATGTATCACTAAAATGTCAATTATTTTGAATGTTTTGAAATGTTATTTTGAAGGTTTGAAAACTTTGTTTTCCTGACCTGCTATTTTATGGGTAAATTCCAGGATTCACATTGAAATGTTTTTGCCCTGTGGTGTTTCAAAATTGATTTAGGCCTTTGATTTTTGCATTGGTTATGTTGGGCAATGCTGGGTTAGGGTTAACTAGTTAGACACCATGTAGTTTGGCTCTTGAATAATTTCTTAGTGCTCGTTGCTTAATTAAGAGTGGAAATTGTGTGTTTGAGTTGTCTTCTTAGCAGTTGTATTATGTGTCTTGAGCCAGCAGAGAGGTTGTTGTGTGTACTTGCTCTGCATGGCAGTGCAGCACGCTGTATCAGGTGCTAGAGATTGAGTCTTGCTGGATGTGCCCCGAATGCCATTTCATGCAAATCATGTCTGAGAAGACTGCTGCATCAAATCACATTTCATTCTGATTATACCTCTTACAGATGAGAAACCAGACTTTATTCTCTACAGGAAAGAAAGTCTTGCTTTTGAATGCTTACTGTTTTTACAACATGCTGGTGATGACTTGTAATTATTAGCACTTAAGATAGGGCAGGGATGATGGACATTTTCTCTTATCAAATCTACGAGTAGTAGCAGGAGAATGTAGTAGGAGATCCTTCCAGCTGTCACATGCTGTCAGGCTTGCAAGGAGAGAATGCAGTTTAAAATGCAGGTGACATGATACCCAACATCCTGCACTTGCTCCAGAGTTTTTGATTAATCATGATTACCATACATTATCATACCATCAAATTCAATCATATCAATGAATCCCATCAGTGGCGGCAGCAGGAGCAGCTAAACACAGGGGGCAACAGCCATTAAAGAAGGGGGTTTGTCAGATTTCGTGACTCTTAACTTGGCTGGTGGCTCCTGGATGTGTGGGTGGTGATAGGGGCTGGCAGTTGTCATTGGTTATCTTGTAAAATTGGTTTCTACTGGTTTTTACTGTTGGTGCCATTGAGCTACTCTGTAAAGATGTAAGGGATTTATAAACTTGTATGCTTTTTCATTAGTTTACTACTATTTTGTTGCAATAGCAGTAACACCATCATAAATAAAACCTCTTCAGAGATATAATGCTCCAGAAATGTGGTTAAACCTTGAAATACTGTTTGTCAGTCTGCAGTTTAATCATGAAGACTGTTAATGTCAGACTGTACCACAGAATTTTAAACTCTGGTGTTTGGAGTGTAATTCCTAAGAGGCTCCTTTGTGGGGGGAGGGACTGGAGCTGGGGGTGGGTTTTTTCCCCTCCTTATCAGGCAGGCACTCTGCAGCTTGAGTCATAACCCCATCCTTTTTCTGTTTCAGTTATTTTTCAGATAGTTTCTTGTGCTTTGCCTAGGGACAGGCTCGGACTACAGTCCTCCACCTGAGACTACTGGAGTGGGCCACCATGTCCATTTCTTTCTGTTATGATTGAGATGTAGTCTCCAAAGCTTTTCGTCTGAGTCCACTGCAGACTTTGATCCTCCTGATCTCTGTCTCCCAATAAAGCACTTTTTTAGATTAACTTTGAAAGAGATCCAGAATATATCAAAATCCAATGCTTCCAAAAGTTTAGCTTTTTTTCACTTAATCTTCACCTGTGCCTACTATTGTATAATTGTCATAGTGATTACAGAGGACAGTTCTGTCACCAAAAGATTCTGTATTTCCCTTACCCAGGCGTTGGTTCACTTTGTTTCTTCAGTTATACTATAGTTTGGGGATATAAATGGAACCTCACAGGTATTCTGTTTGCAGTTTGGCTTTTTCTACACAGCACAACCCAAGGTTCATCTGTTTTGTAAGGTAATTGCCCTGTGGTATTCCAGGGTATAGAGGTACCACAGTTTGTTCATCCATTCCTAACAAACTGGCTAGAAACATCAGTGTGAACATAGGTTGTCAGCAGGGACCGGCAAGTGGGATCTATGGACTTAACACAAACTGTATGCTCTCTGTTGGTATTGTTGACATCACAGCTTTGCCTTTTCTTTTTTTTTTTCTTTCTTTTTTTGGTGGCCAACAGGGGCTTGAACTGAAGGCCTGGGCACTGTTGTTTAGCTTTTTTTGCTCAAGGCTGATACTCTACTACTTGAGCAACACATCTGCATCCAGCTTTTTGGTGGTTAATTAGAGATGAGAGTCTCAAAAGACTTTCCTGTCTGAGCAGTCCTTAGATCTCAGCCTCCTGAGTAGCTAGGATTACAAGTGTGAGCCACTGGTACATGACTGCTTTGCTTTTTAATAGGTTTTTTGTTGTTGTTGTTCTGTTTGGGGTTTTTGTTTTTTTTTTGGTGGATTGTGGGGCTTGAACTTAGGGCCTGGGTGCTGTCCCTGAGCTTTTTGAGGCCAGTGCTGTATCACTTTGAGCCACAGCACCACTTCTGGTTTTCTGGTGGTTAATTGGAGATAACAGACGTTCTACCTGGCCTTTGTACTGCGGGTCTCAGATCTCAGCCTCCTGAGTAGCTAGTATTACAGGCATAAGCCACTGGCATCCGGCTAATTTGTTGTTGTTGTTTAATGAGGAAATATAGTCTTCCTAGAACACACGTTGTTGAAGATTAAGGATGAATAAAACGTTTATTGAGTAATTACTGAATTTCACATTTTGCTAAGAGCAAACCTTTGCTTAGAATAACCTTATGAAGCAGAGGTATCATTATTTTCTCCATCTTACAGATTGGA